TGAACACTTAATCTCTCCGAGGCTCATCTAAAAAATAAAGTTAGCATACTTTGTTATTCAAATGTATTCAAAGGAAGGAGCAAAATGTACTCTAAAAATCAAGTTAAACACCTTTCCCCCAGAATCCTTTGTGCGGAATTAAGAGACAACTACACCAACTTGTGCTGGTGTCTTAGGAGGTGCATTTCTGCTGAGAAGCAGGTAACCGTGAGATACTTGCTCATAGGACTGAGGGTCCGGGGTCATCACATCTCACTCAGGCACAGCAGGGGCTCGTCTTCTGGTCTGGCCCTGAAGGGGGCTCTTGGTGAAGCCCCAGTTCAGCCGCCTTGGGCCACAACCCATGTGAGATGGCAGCCAAGGCCTGGTGGCCTGGTGCTGCTGGCATCGTTTTCCACGCAGCCTGTGGCTAGCCTCACGCCCATGCTCATCTGTGTGTTGTCCACACACAGTTCCTGGCACAGTAGCAGTTCTTCCACCCAAAAGCATATTGGAGGGCAAGATTTTGAAAGTGATATCTCTATATGAAAACCAGTAGGCCTGAACTTTTACTTAAGTATATCATCCTCCCACTGCAGTGCTTTGTTAGTATAGTAACAAGTTCTAGTGACACCCCTCACCAAAAAAGTTCTCTTATAATACGCAAGACAGCACAATGTGTCTTACACTGACATTGAGAACTGCAGTTTTAAATATCTTTCTGGAATTTTGTCCTGGGACCTTTCTTCCAGAAGTCTCTCTTTCAACTTGTCATGATGTTTTAAAACTTCTGTTTGGTATAGTTCTAAGTAAAGTTATATTAAAAACTTTATATTATTAGCTTGAATTTTACTTTTTATATTATGCAATGCCCATTTTTAAATGCAAATATAAGAGCATTTAACTAGCATGTGGAATACCAAAATTACAGAATTTGTATTTTATAGTTCATGCATGCATATATATTTAATTCTTACTTCAATACTATATATACTACACAAAACAAACTCAACTGTTTTCATTTCAGTTTTTTTTTTTTTACTTTTTCAACTTTTATTTTAGATTCCGTGGGTATGTGTGCAGGTTTGTTACAAAGGTATATTGCTTTGTGCTGGAGTTTGGAGTATGACTGATTACCTCACCAAGGAAGTGAGCATAGTACCCAATAGGTCGTTTTCCTAACCTTGCCTCCTGCCTCTGTCTTTCCATTTGTATTCCCTAGGGTCTATTCCCCATCTTTATGTTTGTGTGAATATGACTCTCTACCTTTGGGTAACTGATAGCAAGGGCAGCCTGAAAAGAAAACAAGCAATGGGTCGTCTGATCTTCCCTTTTCCTCTCTGCCAGCATTTTCAGTGTAGGTGATTGGCTAACACTGGATGTGACATGAATAAGAAAGGCTACAACAGGTTCCTTGGTTGTTCACATTTCTTAGTTTTCCACTCTCTCTTTTTGCATTTGAAACAAGTTCTTGTTGTAAGGGAAAGTGTGGCCTCTTGGGGAGGTCGGCTTCCTACTTACTCACTTGAAGATATAACATGATTACCTTGTTCTCACTCTGAGTCCCACTGAAATCCCATATGTTGTGGGTCCATGGGAATTCTGAAAGCTATATGCAAATGGGGCAGCAAGACGTGGTGGACATGCATATTGCACCCATGTCTTCTGCTCATAACATGCTCCATTGTCCCATCAGACCTTTTTCACAAAACACATGTTCAAAGATAAAATTATTAAGAACTTCGAGGCTGGGCACAGTGGCTCGAACCTGTAATCCCAGCACTTTGGGAGGCTGAAACAGGAGAATAGCTTGAGGCCAGGAGTTCAAGACCAGCTTGGGCAACATAATGTGACCCCGTCTCTGCAAAATAAAAAAATTAGCTAGCTGTTGGTGGCACACATCTGTAGCTCCAGCCACTCAGGAGGCTAAATTGGAAGGATTGCTTGAGGTCAGGAGTTTGAGGCTGCGGTGAGCTATGATTACACCACTGCATTCCAGCCTGGGTGACAAAGCAAGACCCCATCTTAAAAAAAAAAATCAAGACAGAGACAGAAGAGATTTAAACCAAACTCAGGAGGATGCTTCTGACCACAGGAGCCGGGGTGGCTCTCAGGTCACACACCTGTGAAGCTGGCCCTGCCCCATGGCCTCCACTCTTGCCATACTGGGCCTGCAGTCTTTTGAACTCAGCATGTTCCTTTCTGCTGAAGAGTCCTAAGGCATCATATTCTTAGGGAGGCCCTCCCTGCCTTGCCTGACCAGGTCAGAGTACTTTCGGCACCACGTAGCTCTCCTTTAATGTACTCATACATTAAAGGATGTACAATCACCATCCTTCTTTCAGGTACTGATGATTTGACTGCTTATTTCCCTTCCTACCAGACTGCAAGCAGCTTGTAGGCCAGGGCTTGGTCCAGTTTTGTTAATTACTGCTTTACCAGTGCTTGGTACATAGTCTCTAATAAATATTTTTAGGTTAATGAATATTTATGAGGTGGATGAATAAACGAATGAATAGTTTTGCAACCAGAATCCAAGTGTCAGGTGAAGACGTGGACTTAATGAGGGTGATGTGAATGTTAGGTTCTGTTCCAGGGTTTGATGAGAACTAAGTGGATCTTGGTTGTCCTTGTTTACTTGTCTGTCTTTTCTACTAGGTAAAAAGTACTTGAGGATAAAGCCTCCTTATATTTTAAGGCACCCAAGTTGTTGGTCTTCGTGTACCCAGGCCTAGCACAGTGCCTGAGACTTGGTCAACTCTCAGAAAAGTTAGTTCTATTGAATTGAATTGTTTAGTAGATGGAAATTTGTCACCTAAACTTTATCTTGTCTTCCCTTTGTATCTCCTCTTTCCTCTCTGTCTTCTTTCCCTCCCTCCTCTCCTTTTCTGTTGCTAAGGATTTTGAGTCTTGAGACGTACTTCGGTTGTGATCAGATCTTTCCAAGAGAAGATTACACTCATCTATTCTAGGTTTAACTTGAGTCTTCAAAGACAAATGGTCTAATTAGCCTTATAACCATGGCACTGGTTGGGCACTCCAGAGAATGCCCCAGAAACAGTCTAGACACATTTGTTGGTAATGTTCTCATATTGGCATTGATCTTGGGAGAGAATCACAGGGCAGGCACTTTGGAGGTTCATCTATTCAGCCCTGCTAATTTAGAGCAGAAATTAAACTTGAGAATTTGAGAAACCATATTCTCCCGCCCTGAAGGCTGCAGAACTTGTCAGAACGCACAGTAGAGAAACGCCAAGTGATCTCAAGATACAGAAGTGAATGGGAACCAGCCTTCTTGTTGGAATGGGGTCCACAACGTGTCTTTCCATTTATTCCACAAATACATTGAGAAATGGCTAGGAGGGGCGGTGGTGGGGGTTGGGAGATGGGGGTGGTAGTGAAAAGGGAATGTTAATAATGAAATTGAGGATCAATTAATTTTTTTTAAAAAAAGCATAAAGGTAAGATTGATACTGATTGAACATCTTGGAAAACTGTGTTAGTAAGAGGTCATGGCATGCTTCCTATATGTAAATCAGATGATTTCTTTGCTGAATAAGACTCGAATTAGAATATAGATGGTTTCTAGAAGCAATCTATGGGGTGGTTCCTTAAAAATTATGGGGCTGTTTGGAGAGGGTATGGTGGGATAGAAAGTACATGGACTAAGGAAGCAGCCATACCTGGGTTTAATATTCAACTTTAGCTCTGTGACCTTGAGCAAGTATTTAACCTTTCTGATTTTTCTCTTTTAAAAAAAAATTGAATAAATTGGTATAAAATGCTTGCCTCGCAGGTTTCTTACGAAGGTCAAAGGAGGTTCCCTGGGTAGAGGTAGAAAGCTCGGTGCCTGGTGCAGAGCAAGCATGCAATCATGTTATTCCTTCTCATCACTGTGTCAGCTCTTATGAATAGCTGGGCAGGACCTGAACTAGGGTGAGGCAAGGGGGTGCCTTGGTTACCCTAAGAGAAGGGCCTTGTTAAATGGTGCACCCTAGGTACCTTGCTTGCCCCTCCCTGGCCTCAGCAGTGCAGCTGAGACAGTTTAGACCAGGGCTGGGGCATCTTAGGGTAGATGTCCCCTGGCTCACCACCATCTTTGGGACCATCTTACAGATGACACAGTAGAGACCCAGACAGTCAATATAATTTGACTTAAGCCAGTTAGTGTGGCAAGCCTGGAATGTGAATCTAGGCCTCTGGGCTCTTGGCCTCTGTTTTGCTCCCTTAAAGCCTATAGCTGAACTCTTTCAGCTATAGAAAACATGGTGCTCACATACCACTTTCCGCTATATGATCTCTCTGGACAGCTACATCTCATCTCTCCAACCAGTCTGTAAATTTTCTCAATAGGGACAGAGGACATGTATCAAATTTTCAGCACTTCCCAAGACATGCACAACAGGTTTTGCATGCAGTTGGATTTCAATAAATAAACATACATTGATTGAGAAGAAAAGGAGATATTCTCATGGCCTTATAATTTTAACGCTTAGAAGTAGTTATAATAAACATTAACCCAACTGAAGGAGAGAAATGAATTAATGTCACCACATGTTCAGCTCTTTAAGATGTTGCTTTTCAGGCTCCACAGGGACTCTGGAACTCCGGAACGCACATAGACTCTCCCCCACTGTTTTAAAAGAGAAAACTGCAGCTTGGAAGGGGAAGTCGTGGCTGGAGACAGAAAATGGAGAAGTGGGAGAGGTAGAGGGAACGTAGCTGCAGCAATGCAGTAAAGGAAGGAGAAAAGCGGTGCTGCTCATACGTTAGTGAGCAAACACATCACTTGAGGATCCTGTTGAAATGCAGATCCAGTTCAGAAGGTCTAGGGGGAGCATGGGATTCCGTATTTTAAGAAGCTCCCAGGTGATGCTGATGTTAGTGGCTCATGGTCCATGCTATGTGTTTGGAATGAATTGCATGGAGGTTTTGAGTTTGTGAATCTGTTCCAATGGAAACACTGTCTTTATTCTGGCAGTTCTCAGGATTCCCACTCACTGTCTTCCATCCTTCTGCAGGAGAAATCTGTGCGTTCAAGATCCACGGCCAGGAGCTGCCCTTTGAGGCCGTGGTGCTAAACAAGACATCAGGGGAGGGCCGGCTCCGTGCTAAGAGCCCCATTGACTGTGAGTTTCAGAAGGAGTACACATTCATCATCCAGGCCTATGACTGTGGTGCTGGACCCCATGAGACAGCCTGGAAAAAGTCACACAAGTGAGTGGCCTGACAGAGCCCTCTGGATGCCCCTCCCTCCTGTGCCCTGTGCCTACCCTACTTCATTCACATGCTGCTCTTCAGATATGTTTACCCCTGGTCACACCATGGTGTTCCAACTTTGCTCAACTGCTTGCCAGTTCTCCAGTCCCATGCAGGCATCTTCACAGTCTACTTTCTACACCCGGAATATTCTACTCCCTCTTGTTCACTTGAAGATACTCCTGTTTTACCTTCAGGTCTGAGTTTAGGGGTCACTTCTTCCAGGAAGCCTTTCCTAAGTGGCCCACCCCTGCAGATCTGGTCAGGACCTTTCCCTGGGCCTCTGCAGTGCCATAAGATGCTCTCTGTCACAGCACTTTTCACTGTGGGTTGTCACTGCTTTCTCCCTTATGAAGTCCATCTCAGAGCCTAACAGAGTAAGAGGGGTTAAATTGTTACTGAATGGAGGAGTGGATGAATAGAGGGAAGAATGAACAGGTTATCTGTTGCCTGAAGCTGGGGCAGAGAGAAGGGCATAAGTCTCTCTGTGATGGATTCATCTAAGAGCGTCACAGCAAGGGCAAGTTGAGGGTCTCCAGTGAGAGGGAGGATGGGACACTCAGACAACTGCCCCCACTGGCTTTCGCTTGGCCTTGGGACTCAGTGCCCCCAGGAGGTGCAGGAGGTTAGTGTGAACCTCTCTTTACCTCCATCCCTTCCTTTCTGTGTGTGGTCCCAGGGCCGTGGTCCATATCCAGGTGAAGGATGTCAATGAGTTTGCTCCCACCTTCAAAGAGCCAGCCTACAAAACTGTTGTGACGGAGGGCAAGATCTATGACAGCATTCTGCAGGTGGAGGCTGTTGACGAGGACTGCTCCCCCCAGTACAGCCAGATCTGCAACTATGAAATCGTCACCACAGATGTGCCTTTTGCTATCGACAGAAATGGTGAGTGTCCTCGGAGGACCCCGTGGGATCAGGAAAACAAATCCACCGCCTCCTCTCTGAAGGCCCAACAAGGCCTCTGAATGTGCTTGGCAAGTGTTGCCTCCCTTGCCATCTTTGGTCTGAGCTCCATAACCCAGCACTCAGTCCCAGACTTGAGGTAATGGCCTTATCTGATTAGCAGCCCTGCCAGGTCTAAAACACCCCCAGGGAACCTCAGAAACCTACTCACTCAATGTAGTCTATGCAACTCACAGTGTCACATATCTAGATACGGAAGATGGTTGGTTTCCTGGACAGATTTTCTAGTTGTCACCCAAATGTGAGCCATGCCATCAGCTCTGCCATATCTGGGTCCCTTTCCTATGTAATAAGTCATAATACCAGCCCTATTGCCCCCAGATGAAGCAATGCTAACAGAGAAGGTGGGACTTTTGAAATACCTTCTCAACCATAGATTCATTCAGGATTTTATAAAGTTCTTGCCAATGTCCTTTTTGAGAATTTCAACCCCACTGAGAATGAAGAATGAAAGAACCCTCCCGCAATAACCCCATTCCAGACCGAACAAGACTGAAAACATTCCTATAAAGCCATTTAGATATTTCCCCATCAGCATGAATAGAAAACTCATTGTAATATAAACACTGCAACCAGAGGCCCAACAAGCTCAGCCCACTTTAACTGTAAATTTCAACATCTTCAACACGTACAATCAAATGTAATTATTTGCCAAGTACATTCTTTAATTATTAGTGTGAGTTTTTGGGTGTTTGTATGTTCTTCCTACTTTGTTTTCAATAAGGTTTAAGTAGCACACAAAGATGCAAAAGTTGCAAAACTCGAAGTCCATTCATTCTTTAAGTGTTTACTGAGTGCCAGGCATGGTGCCGAACATTGGAAAGGAGATGGAGTGGAACTCAAGACAGACACGGGCCTGTCCACGTAGAGCTCATCATCTAGGGGGATAAAACAGAAAATCCAGTGGCAGGAAGGGCGAAGTTGGTGCATAAAGCATGCCATGAACCAGGGTTGGGCAGCAAATTAGCTCTATACCTCCTGATAGCCAACATCTAAAGGTAAATAGCATCAGCTACCTGCTTGCACACCTTCAGGAGAAACCCAGCCCTTCTCGATGTTAAGACCAGGTAGAAACTTACTCTGTGACATTGTCTTCTGCACCCTGAGACTGTGGCAAATGCCATAGGGGATAGAAGCCAAGGAGACACACTTGTCTCTGTCTTTAAGTAGCTTAGGATCTGTCTTGGAAGACAAAACTAGTATCTGTAAGACAGAAAAATAATAATAAGGTAATTTCCCTCTAAAATGCTAAAACATGGGGAAAAGGCAATTACATACCTGGACAGCACAAGATGATAATTGTACAAGGCACAATATCAATGCACAAGCAAAGGAGGAAATATAGGACTTTAAAGTTGGGCTCAAAACTAAGAAGAAAGTAATTTTAATTAGTAGAGGCTTTCAGAACCATTCCCTGATAGTTTCTCCCACAGGCTCTGTGGAATGGCTGGCCTGTCCCACTGCAGGGACACACATATGCACGCACTGCTCCATAACATATAAAAGAACTTCTTTGTATTTTTTTTTTCTCCTCTGGGTTTCTTTTCCTGTATGGTCAGTTGTGCAGTGTATCCCATAAAAGCTTTGGAATTTGGGGAGTGACCAGGCTATGGTGAACAGCAAGACTAGACAAGTAGAGGTATATGTGCTCAGTGGTCAAGCTCTACGTGGCCTCCTGCCCTAGTGCTGAAGAGCCACAGCCCAGTGAGAGATGAGATGCAAATTCTTTCTTTGGAGGGTAAACAGCCCCAGTCATGAAGATAATTACTCACCTTGATGAGCCATTTTGCTAACATATGCCAATTTATTTCCCTGGCTGTCTCATTAAAAGTGAGTAATGGGCCTTTGCCAGGCCTCTGCCTCTGATGCTGGTTTACAACCTAAGATGAAGAAGAGAATGGGGATTCCCAGGGAGTGTGGGCCCCTGACGGCGAGGTGTACGAAAGCAGTCCTCCATGTAATGAAGGCAGGTCCTAGGGGCACTCACAGAAATGACTCACATTCTAATGAGCTTCCCAATTGGCCCTTTTCCATCAGTTTCTTGGAGCGACCTTTCCGGCTCCTTGAAGAAGTACTTTGCATGCTCATAAGGAAAGTGCTGCTGAATTTAGAGCCTGCTCATTGGGGCCTAGGTTTCCTCTACCACATGGCTTCAGATAGATGTCTCCTGGCCCTCTAACCTGCCAGGCTCTTTGCTGGTGGAGTAAGAATGGCAGCAGGGAGAATAGAAGACACAATGTGGAGTCAATCTGACTGTCTTTAACTAGAGACTACCCCTCTTCCTACCAGAGGCCCTCAGACTCCCTCCCTTTGGATTCCTCCCTATGAAATTATGGCAGTATCAGGCCTTACCGCATTGTGGGATTATGAGGACTCAAGGAGAAGCAGTGTGTGGGAATACTGTTTGCAGGGTATCTGGAATACAGAGAGAACACTCAATCAATGATGCCACGGTTATTAAATATTTACCTGGGTTATTGGGACATGAGATTTATTTACCAGACTTAAATTATGAGAAGGTAAATTATGAGTTCATCACATTGCCTTCATCTTGGGAAGTTGTAGCTCTATTTGAGATGACCTCATCTGCTAGCTAGTGTTGCTGAGATAAGCAGAGCTTGGGTCCTCAAAACTGAATCCTAAAACCTAAAGAGCTAGCCTAATGACACTGTCACAGCGGTGATAGAGCCAGAACTCAACCCAAGTCTCCTGAGTGTGAGTCCCAAAGCCTTTCCATCAGACTGCACTTCCTCACTGATAATTTACAGGGTGAATGGCAGTGGTATTTAACTTTGCAAACACAAAGTAAGGGGCAATGTCAGCAAAATGGCAGAGAAGGAGATCCCAGCCTTCATTCCCCTACAAAGTACAATCAGACAGCTATCTATGAAAGAAAATAGTTGTAGGGGAGCTCAGGAGTCCAACTGAGATGATACAGCAACACAGTGCAAGAAAAATAATGAGGATAATTGCACAAAAAGAGTAGGAAGGACAGTTTCATTTTGCATGCATCATCTCATCCCCCAGGCCAGCATTGCTTAGCACAGAGAGGGAACTCCTCAGCTCTGAAGTTACCCTTGAAGAGAAAAGGATAACGAGATGAACACCCAGTTTCCTAAGCTTTCAGAACACTCCCCAGAATGACCTGTTTCAGTGTTACCCCACCCCAAATAACTGGGGAGATCAGCATGGCTGAGACATTTGGAGACATCTGGGAACAAAGATGGGTCGGGCTACCAGTATCAGCCATGTGGCAGGAGCCACCACGGTCCCTAGTGACTGCTCTGCATAGGACCCCAGCTGTCTTCTACCCTCAGGATCTCAACAGCCTCATAGACACCACACACCCCTGACTGGCTTTCACTGCCAAGGACCCCACATTGTTGCCATTGTGGAACTCAGCAGCTTCTGCCACTGAGGAAACCAACAACCAGTACAGCCACAGGGTTCCTCACAATTTTTGCTGAGGACCCCACAATTTTTCACTTTTACAGTTTCTAGATGCTTGTGTTACTACATCTCTTCATCCTCTCTCCCCAAAGCTGCCCTGGCTGCTGCCATTGTAGACACCCCAACCCAGGAACCCAGGGCAGCCACTACATGTATGCCCCAAAATGGTCTGGGCTCCAGCCAAATATCCATTTGTCACCACCATCTGTGTACCTGTGGCGAAGCTCTTAGCTGTGTGCAGCAGAGCATCACCATCACCAGGTCTAGCAGCTGAAAATATGCTTGTATCTGGCTTCTGTGCCCACACGCATGCTTATCACCAGCCCTGGCTCCTAGAGCTGTACACATGCAAGCCCCAACTTTTTTCCCTGGCCCCCACCACTGTGCTTATACCTACAGCTGATCCTTGCAGCTGCCTACATGTATACCTCCAGCTTGATCTCTATAGCTGCACATGCACATGTAGTTGGCCTAACTCCCATTGGCGGCCTCCACCACTACATAGGTGCCTACAGCTGGTCCTTACAATTGCACATGTGTATGCCATGAGCCTTGACTCCTATAGTCATGCATGTACATGCCACCAGCCACCATATAACCACAGTTGGCTCTGCCCCAGCACTAACCATTATGTGCATATCCATAGCTGAGTGTGAACACAGCAGTGGCCCTGACTCTCCCTGCTCCCTGGACCAGTCCTTTGTCACTGGACCCAGGACATGGCTGAATATACCTACAGTCCTGTCAGCCACTGTGGACCTCCCACAGCCTTTGCCACAGTAAGGAGCACACAGCCGCAAATGTTACAGACCTCAGCTACCTGAATCAATAAGACATTGCATCCCTCTCCAAAACCTGAAGCCACCATACACTAGGCACTAAGCATGGTGCCACAGTGCTCTCCAGCATTACCTATCCTCACCCTCACCTCCCCATAGGTGAAGAATTTTCCTTCATGAATCTAGTTCATAAAGTCTGCAAAGGTGATTGTTTCTTCAAATGCTTATACACTTACACAAGACTACAAGTATCATAAAAGATCAGGGAAATATTGTAGCACCAAAGCAATTGTCAGTAAGTAATACACTGTCCGTAAGTAATCAACTCCAAAGAATACCATTGAATTCCTGATGAGAATTCAAACTAATTGTTCTAAAGAAACTCAGTGATCTACAAGAAAACACAGATAATTAACTAAATCAGAAAAACAATGGAAGAACAAAACCAGAAGTTTAACAAAGAGATAGAAAACCTAAAAAGAACCAAACAAAATTTGGAGCTTGAGAACACAATGGCTGAATTTTAAAAATGTGATAGAGAGCTTTAACAGCTGACTCAATCAAGCAGAAGAAAGAATAAGCAAACTTAAAGACAGGTAATTTGAAATTGTCCAGTAAGAGGAGAAAAAAGGCAGAAAGAATTTTAAAAAATCAAGAAAGCCTACACAATGTATTCAACACTATCATGAGAGC